CTGGGATCTAACAGGACACGTGCAGATGCAAGTCTATTATCTAAGTCCAATAGAGTATAATACAGATGTTTTAATGCTATGATGAGCTCTAAAACAAGATTAAAAGTGTTCAAAAAGTTCATTATGGTCTAAGTGGTCTCACACTTGCTTGGCAACTATTTTCTCATGAATTTTAGATAAGAAGTGAAGATTAGATATAGGTCTATAATTTACCTAGTCATCTGGGTCAAGAGATGGCTTCTTAAGTAAAGGTCTATTTACAGCTACCTTAAAAGTACATATCCCTGTGTTAGGTTAATCGCATCTAAAATGGAGGAGGATATCAGAGGGAATACTTCCTCAAAAAGAATGAATTGAACCTGTAAACATAACATGCAAGTTGAAGGTTTAGATGAAGATAATAGTTTTGCTAAAAGCTCAACTGGATGAAAAGACTCGAAATATGGTTTTGAAAACCTCAATATTACAAAAATTAGAAATACAAGGGGTAATGACGAGAAACTAGTCCATGCATTATTACTTCAATGTTGGACTACTGTAATTCGTGTCCTGGACATCAAAAACCCTTACACGCCCAAGTTTGGAGAATGGGTCAAATGGTGGTCAAGATGCCTTGATACTTCGACACTCTGGTCGCTCTGCCCTCTGGTTATTCATATGCTCTTTACTGTATCTTCAAACTAGAGAGCGTCTTGGCTTTATTTACTTTGATAAGTTGGAAAAAACTGTTTTTTTACCGGTAATTCAGAAATTAAACATTAAAACATTCTCTGCAGTAACTTCATCAGGATTATGATCCTAATAATAAAATATACTCTTCTTGTTCGGAGCAACAGACCTACACCATACACTTGGCCAGCAGTGCTGGATATCCCAGCTGAAACTCCTCTGCAGCGGCAAGCATGTGGGGGACTTACTGCTGCCATTTGGCTGGAACTGAATGTAGAGTAACTGGTAACTGCAAGTACCAGAATATACAATCTAATATTTTTTGTCAGAAGTCTATAACATTTAGTTTTTTTAGTTAATTTGGGCATTTATAGTTCTAGAATTGCGCTGCTTGAGGTGGCTGCATTTTGGAGTAGCTCTGCTAGCCAGACTCTGATTTTCTTTTTTAAGACAACTGAAATCTTTCCATTTTTGTATCAGAGTGTCTCTTTCTAATGTTTTTCGAGTCTGTTGATGAATGCTGTGAAACTGTTGGGATTTTCAATTACATTTTTGTCTCTTTTGGTTACTTGTTATGATCCATAACCACAGCAACGATAGTAAGTTGATCTTTTATATCCGGGAGCAGCTCCTTAACATCTCTAAAGGTTACCGGTAAATAATACTTCAACTATGTCCACAAGAACCAGTTGAGCTGAGGAGGGCGGTTGGCAGTGTATGTGATTAGCGGATGGTGTCATCCAGGACATGTTACTCTGAAGATTCCTCACTGCAGCTCAGATATTGAAGTGTTGGCAGTTGGGTTTCAGCCATATTATTTGCCCAGAGAGTTCACCAGTGTTCTGTTAGTAACCTTCTGCCATTGCCGACACTGCACGTCATGTAATCTGTTCCATTGTTGATAAGCTACAGACAGAAAAGCCAATTGCATTTGTGGCTGCTAAAAACTGCTGGTTTTAGTCACGTCTCACTCTCTGCTGCACTGACAACCTTCCAACAGTTTGTGAGCTGCTGCACCAGGGAAAACAAAACTTTGGGCTTGTTTTATGCAAATATCAAGGATCAGATCACAGTCTTGTTTTTTTTTTCTGCTCAGATTATAAGCCACTTTATGGCTTTAGGAAGCTGAAGAAGCCTTGCAAGGTTGTTTTTAAGGCTACACACTGGGATGCATTGTATCGGCCACATGGAGAGGACATCAATGCAATGACTGAATGTCTGACTGACTACAAAAGGTTCTGTGTAGATAACACCACCACTACCAGAACAGTGCAATGCTTCCAAAATAAGAAACCATGAATCACAATTGATCTGAAGCAAGTGCTCTTAAGCCTTTAAGAAAGGGGGGCAGCGAATTACTGAGGAGTATACAGAAGCAACTTAAGGTCAAGATAAGAGAAAGCAAGGAGCAGTACAGGAAAAGGCTGGAAAACAAGCTCCAGCAGAACAATATCAGAGATGTGTGGTCAGGGATGAAGAGGATCACAGTGTTCAAGCAGAATGATGGTTAGCAGATGATGCCTGGGCAGAGCCAATGTACCGAATATATTCTTCAACAGATTCAGTTCAGGAACAAGCACAGCATCTTTCTCTAATCTCCACAGTCACATGGACATCCTGCTCTCCACTGCCTCCTGCTTCTGTGATTTGTTATCAGCCAGGTCAGAAGTTCACCGGTTTCAGTTCTAGGCCTGCTTCTTTTCTTGTTGTACCTCTCTACAAATGGCTCTATTTTTGGCTCCATTTTTAGAATTAATTGTTATGCAGATGACACACAGATATATCTACCACTAAAGAACTCAGACTCCACTTCTCTTCAGTCTCTCTTTTTATGCGTGGAAGATTTAGAGACAGAATCATGTTCTTTGATTTCTACAGTGTATTTAATATAATTCAGCCTGACTTTGTGAAAAACTTCAGAAAACTCAGATGGAGGCATCAACAATCCCCTGGATCAAAGACTACCTGACAAACTGACCACAGTTTATTAGACTGAAAGGTCAGATGTCTAATCAAGTAGTCAGCAGCACTGAGCACCACCAGAGACTAATACTCTGTACACCTCTGACCTCCAGTACTATACAGAGTCCTGTCATCTGCAGAAATACTCAGATGAATCTGCCATCATTGGGTGGATCAAAGGTGGACAAGAAGCTAAGTACAGAGAGCTGCTGAACTGTTTTGTGGAGAATGTGATCTGTTCTTCCATCCTCTGCAGGGGTAACAGTATTAGAGCTAATGACTTGAAAAAGCTCAACAAGTTATTTAAGATGGCCAGCTCTGTTCTAGGAACTCTACTAGAACATATGGAGATTATTTTACAAAGGAGAATTATTCATAAAGCTAAGAAAATGATAGAGAACATTGAACATTCTCTTCAGAAGATGTTTAAACAACAAAAGAGTGTCTTCAGTAAGAAGCTTCTCCAGATTTTTACTAGAATATCCAAAAGTAGAATGGGAGGCAGATCTATTGGTTATCTGTCTCCTCTCCTGTTGAACCAACTACCAGTTTTAGTCCCTGTCTACTTTAAAACTTTCCTTTTTGATAAAGTTTCTAGTTAAAGTCACTCAGGTTAGCCTGAGCTATCTCTATAGCAATGCTGCAATAGGCTTACCCTAGGGCTAAAAGGACAAATCTTGGTTTATGCTTAACGCATCTGCGAGGTCCACACAGCCAAACTACATCATTTTTGGCTTTTACATCCCTGAACACAACCCCCCTACACCCATGCCACGCTGCCATGGTTGGTAGTAGCCACTCTAATCAATGAAGGGTTCAACCTCGTGTACCACGGGGCGTCCCATAATTGTGGTCCGTTGGACGTCTACCTCAAAAACGTGGCTGGTCTCTTTCATGCTTGATGTAAAGTGATCCAGTGGTGTGTAAAAGGAGAGCAATCCTCACTATCAAAGTCTATCTGTTCCAAGGTGAACAGGGTGCTTGGCAGAATCCGCAGCATTAACATGTTCTGTGGAACCTAGGGTTAGACTGCTGGAGGACATGGGAACCCTTTTAATCATTCTGCTTCACTCTATCTATATTCTCCCATTCTGCAGTTCTTGTTAGTTTAATCTCTAAGTTTATGCTTTCTCAGCCTTTTCTCATCAGAGTAACTTCTTCAGATCTTTCCCTGTTTGGCTGCCTGTGACTCTTTCCTGGATAGAAATATCAACTGTGCTGCTGCCATCAACATCTTTGTTAATAAATGTTGGAGCTTGGCCTGATTTTCTTGTAGTTCTTTTTCTCTGACTGTGACTAGCTATGTGCTCTGTTTCATCCTCCGCATGTGGCCGCCTGTGGAGCTGGTTAACAGTTGCCTTTTGTATCTCTGCTTCTTTCTGTATGTCTGCTTCTGTCTCCTTGAACCCCAGCCAGCCTCGGCAAATGGCCGCTCACACTGAGCCTGGTTCTGCTGGAGGTTTCTTCCTGTTAAAAGCGAATTTTCCTCTCCACTGCGCAACAAACATGCGTGATTTGAGGGATTCCCTTTGAGTCATTAGGTCGATGCAATCAACTGGCAGTAAGATCTGACTGAATTGTCTCTGTTAAATGCCTTTTGATTACATGTTTTGAATTGGCCCTATATAAATGTAATTGATTGCAGTCCTTTTTAAAATCCTTAAGAATATTTAGGAATCTTTAAACATTGACACAATGCATACCTTTTAAGATGGTTCTAATTTTGCAATGCGCTTAAAAAAGGATCTTAAATTTTAATCATAACAAGGTTTTTTCAATATTGGTAAAACGTGTATTAATTGTATTATTTGCAGCAGACCTCTCTCTTGTTTACAAAGTGTCATCCTTTTTTTCATAAGTGAATTATTAATGATTATCCTAAGTATAGAAAGGCTCCTTGAAGCTTTTGTATAATAAAATAAACAATTGACTTTAGTGACTGAACTCTTTAAATCCGTCTAGTCATGGGAGATTATCTCATGCTGACAGTCTTCTGCTAGGAAGTTGTCAACAAGGTCAAAAAAGCCTTATCTTTGTCAGAGGGGTCTGTAATGTTCAAAGACATAGGAGTAAATCCAGCTTAATGGTGATGGTGAACTGTGAATACAATTCATTTTTACCAGTCATGCAACCATAGATAACTAATTCTGGGCTCGTTTAACCAGAAATAGTTTATTTCATTTTTGATAGTCTTTTGACATGTTTTGTGTCTGTGCTTTCCTGTAAAAATGCTGTTTTGTTAAATATATTTTAAATGCTTTCAACTACCTTACGGCAACAGATACATTGTAACTCTGCGCTAACTCCAGCATATTTATCTTGAAGAATTTCCGACACATTCTCCTAATTCAAATATAATAAAATTTTACCTTGATGGCTGTTTTTAACTGCGGATTGGCTGACATTTGGGAGGGAAGTAAGTTGTGGCTCTTTAAGGAGGAGTAGATTCAGTCGACTTCTGGAGCGGTCTTCACTTGGCTTGAAGTTGCTTACTGCATATACACCCTGCATAAACAAAGTACTCAAAATAACATCCTGGCTGAAGGGCAAAAAAAAGCTTTCTCATGACTTTGGATGTGTTATATCAATATATCATAAAACAAATCAATGGAGTAAAACAAAACAAGAAAATAACCAGAAAACAATTGTAAAAATAGCTGTTCATAAAATGACTTAGACAAACTTTATTGTCATTTTGTATACACAGAGTGTGTACAAAATTAAAAGGGCGTAATTTAAAAAAAGACCTTTGAGAGGC